CTTTTAAGTGCAACGTAGAGCTTTGGAGAATTTATGACCATTTTTAGTGATTGTGGTCAACTTTTATTGATTTTGTTTATTTAAACTTTGGAACCGTAATCGTGAATAACATTTCTAGAACTACAGTAAAAAATACTACAATTGCCCAAGTTTTCAAGAAATAAAACTTTTTGTTGAACTATGAATATTTAATTTTATTAAATTCGGTCGATTTTGAGGAGCCCTCCTACAAAAATGTACTAAAGTATGTTGGCAAGTTTCATCAAAAGTTGGCGAAATTCAGGTTGCAAAGTGGTAAAATACTTAAACATTTTATTTTTAAAAAATTTCGAGTTAAGGTCAATACTGTCACCTTTTTTCGGCTTGACGTCAAGGTCTGGCACACCCTGTATATACAGTAGAACCCTGTTAAAATCATCATACTTAATACGATTTCTCGCGTATTATGCAACTTCAAGCCAGTCTTTACACTTTTAAACAGATTGACCCTCTGCGGCATAGGGCCAAAATATTTTGTTAATAAAACGCTTTCTCGCATAAGAGAAGACAAAATTGAATTGGGAATTCCAATATGATAAGTAAGTCTATAAGTCATGTCACGAATAAATCAAACGCTAGATGGACCGTGGTCTTAGCACGTTATTTATAGTCGCTGCAAATGTCATAATTCATTCATCGTCTTTCTTTCGCTATTTATATAAGAGAGCGCGGTATGAATTTGATATAAAAGATATGCGACATTGATACGTTATGCGTGATGTTGTGATATAACTAAATGCAATGCCAATATTTAATTTTGTATTACGATTATAGATGGGCAGCTAATTGCCCAAACAGAAAATAGAAAACGTTTTACGATCAGTTTGCTCATTACGATTACCTAAGCTTTGTGAAAAAATATACGTATTCAAAACAGTAAAACTTTACAAACATTCTTAAAAATATATCACTCCATAATTTTGTAAAAAAAGTTGAATATTGACGTTTGATTTACTGTTTGCGTACGTAGATGTATATAATCTTAATAAAATGATGTATTTTTGAGATTGTTCCTTGAATGGATAACAGTACTATATGCGATGAAGGACCAAAATTAATCGGAACGGAATTTACCAAAGAACAACAATTTTCAATCAATTAAAATCCGCATAGGTTAACTATTAAGTTATATTATAGTTATAAAATTTAATACTGATATTTAACTGGTTATTTTTGATTAGCAATAACAAATATAGCAAAAATCAATGCGATGACCACTGGAAATAATGATAAAAAGCAATATATTTACCAGTAAAATAGCATTTACCCCATATATGCAGCATCAATAAAAAAAATATCAATATTAAGAAATTGCAATAATAAATTTCATTACATAAAGAGACTGTTGTTTGTTTTGTTATATAGAGTCGACGTAGTTAATAATGTCTCAGAATTTTATAGAGTATTATCTATCATCTTAAAAGCCTAAAAAGCCCTATAATTTTAATTGCTATTCAAATAATCTATTAAAAAAATTTATAAGTTGGTGTGAAGGTTACTTTATCTAATGGTTATAACCCAATGGTTACTATATTCTAGTTTTGATATATTTTTATTAGGACTTTTTTAAAAAGTTTTTTTATTTCGAATATATCGAAGCAAACATTCTCGAGAGACTTTAAATTCATTTTATTTTTTAAATTTATTTATTGAATTGTACAAATATTTATGAAGATTTTTTAAATATGAGTTAACATTATCTTTTTTTCATGGGTAATCACTATTCTGACATTTTTGGCAGTCGCTAATTAATTGAAATAAGATATCCTTTGAAAATTGGGGTAAAATCTAGTATGATTATTAGTCAAGTTTAGTAAGTGATAAATTGAATAATATCCGATATACGAATTTCTTAAAAAATACTTTATTGTGTTAATGTTTATTGTGTATAAGCATGTATTGGTACATATCTTTAGAATTTAACTTACCCAATATTCCCTATGGCTCTCCAGAAAATTGTAAATTTTAAAATTGTATCAAGAAGAAAATCAATTATTATTACAACTTCAGACCAAACCTCGATCGATTGTCCAACAAATCAGTAAAATATCAAAATGATTCCTAGGGACTTTTTCTTTATTGAGATAATTGTTCGCAATAATAATGTAGAGTTGAGAATTTTCACCAGAGGTCTTACTAATATTTCATTGAAAATCGAGAATGCACGGCGTCTCTTTTGTTTAGACTTTGTTGCATCCTTTTATCTGGATTGCGAGGTCAACCGACCAGGCGGCCAGATAAAAACAAATGCATCGTTTGCGCTGTAGGTAATATGAAGATAAATGATTTTTAAAAGTATTGGAAACTAGTAGCGATTGGCCTTGCACGTTAAGGCAAATCGCCAACAAGCGTGAGATGAATCTAAATTCCAGAAATTCATTTTTTTTTTAATAATTCAATATGATTTTGAATATTGAAACTAGTTTACAATTTTTGAAATATACTTTGTAAAAAAGCATTTAATATTTAATTGTAAATTTTATTGCTTTATGAGCCAAAATTTAAAATAAATATAAATTAGTAGGGCAAATTTGTTCTTAACTTCTCGAAGAAGTTTATGTTTACGACAGAAAATCTAATTTGTGTTTTCTCAAAGTTTCAAGTCATTGAAGTGAATTGAAATAATCCAATCGAACATCTTAAAATGCTAGAAAGTTTACAAAACGTAGTTAAATCATGAAACTTTAAAGTTTGAAATGATGGACTGCGCTTTTAGGGCATACTAACGTAATTGTGCATTTATAAGTCCGAAATATATCAATAAGAAATCGAAATATTTATGAAAGCTTTATTTTCTAAATAAGCTGTTGAAGATAAGCAAGAAAGTTACTACATACTTATTTTAAACTATAAGAGATGAGAAGATAATTATAAATAATATTCATTAATATTTTTTTTAGAACCCACTTCAACAAATAATAATGATGTGTGTAGGCATTCAATTTTGCATTATATATCAATAATGTGCATTATTTATAATAAATTGCTGTCAAAAAAACTATTTCCAACAAAAATCATTTTATCAACTAGTCAGTGATATGAAATTAGTGTTTTCTCCATTCTATTTTTTATCGCAATATGAAATTCAATCAATTTGTTCACAACTATATCTTTCGAAGCCACATAGTTTTCCTCCGCAACATTGTATGAAGATTCCGAAAATAACTTGAGCCTATTATATATGACGTACAGACAATATGAAAAATGAGTATTGTATTTCTTCTTATGCAATGCTGAGTGGTTTAATGTTGCTTCTGTTAACTATTATTTAACACAAGTCGTTAAGGAAAGAACTCAGTTTTAAACTATTCTGAAAAGAAAATCATTGCTAAGAAACAATTGAATCATACTTATTAACTAGTTGGTATCGGTATTTTGCCTTGGAGCAAGTTACATGAACTTCCCGATATGTGTAAATAATCGACTTAATCAATAAAAAATAAATTAAATTATGAATGATTAAAGTATGAAAACGAACTCAATAACTCGGAATATTTTCTAAGAGCAAATTTTCAAAAATCAACCATTTTTATAATTGAACCTGTTTCCGTAGCACTTTGATGATTCAGTATGTTCATTAAGACCAAGAACTCGTCTAATTTTAATTTGAACAAACGTCAAAAAAACTACTCATTTTCTCAAACTTTGATGAATTTTTAAAATTAAACTACTTGTCGTAAGGCAGTAATATTTCAGTAACTTCTGTAAGACCATGATGTATATCGCCAAAAAAAGTTCCATAAAAATCGGCTTAAATTTTTTTCAACAGTTAATTACAAGAAAACGGCTCGGTAAATTTTCACCTAAAACTAATCAGTATCATTCTCAACTAATATCTTTCGAACAGTTTTTGATTTTTCAAAATCGTATGAGCTTAAATGTGGACGAAACGTTTAACACTTTTTCCCAAATGACAAAGAAACGGCTTGGCAGATCGTCGAACAAAACTGATAGTCCTCATCGAGATACATCGAATGGCTTTTAAACTTTTGAAATCGTCGTTAAAACGTCGATTTACGGCAAAAAATCTGTTCACATACACACACACACACATTCCTTTTCCAAATTTGGTCTCATTCACTTCTCCTTCGGGAAGTTAAAAAATATTTCTTCCAAAATTTGAACAATTCGTTATTTGGGAAACTATATTAACATAAATTTCAACATATCTAATACAATGTTCTCATTTATTATTACTCATAAATATTTTGTAATTAATACAGTCTAGTAAGTCATTTAGTATTCTCATCGCACAGTTTATTTTGAAAATATTCTCCCTTTTCTTTGTCCAAACAGTCAATGATAAAAAAATAAATGGTTCTTGGCCAGTACGTTCTCATGCACAAAACAATGTTGCTGGAGAGGACTTCAAGTGCTCAATACTTGAAGTCAAAATAAGATAAAAGTATTATTGAATAGTTTGTGTCAATAATTAATATAACATTGTCGAAAGTATTTTCAATCCTAACATAAGGATTTCTAAATTGAGAGAATGGAAATACTGCAAAAGCTAATAACATAATAATAATAAATAATTGAATCCAGTTCCAGTTTAAATTAAATGAAGTGAGTAAAAGTACTACAATCAATGAGCTTTTAGTTACATATAAAAATATTTTTATTTTTGGGCTCACTCTAACTTTTAGCCACTTAAGATATTTTTATTTTTTACCCAATGTTCTATACATGAACGTCTACAATGTTCTTTTTACATCCAAATCTATTCAAAGTTTCACATCATATTGAGTTTAACATTTTTCTTTATATTTTATTCAACGTTCTGCATGATATAGATTTTTACATAGTTTTAATATTCCATTGCAACACGCCACTCATTAAGTCGATAGGATGTATTGTAACTAATTATTAATTAACATTTCTGCAAATATATCTTAATATGAAATTATATTTAGTTATTAGTGTCTGTCTTAAATTTTAATCGTTCTTTCTGTTTTTTTCAGGTGCTCCATCATTGACACCAAATGTATCCTCCACGATGCCTCTGTACAAATCCTACGCAGCAATGACACCTTCTCCTTCGCTGCCTTCGCCATCCTCAACTTTGCCTACAACATTACCAGGAGGTCCAGTTACTTTAACCTCCAGTAATTCTATGACACCGATTAGTTCTTACTATGATCATCGTATCAAGTATGCGTAAAAAAGTGATTTATGATATATTATAAAATAAATGTATATATTTATATATATTATTATAGTTAGTGATAAGGTATTTTTAATAAATTCTCAAGAAGTGCTATAAAGTTAATCTGCTTTATACTTTTTTTATATAAAGCCAAATTTTATGTATTACTATATTCAAATTTATTATTATTATTATTTTAAATTTAACTTAATTTGCAGCATGATTTGAACTAAAAGCTTTACTTTTCTATAATTTGGATAAACGATATTAATTACGAAATTTTATTAATGTAGATGATGCAAAGTATTTCGTTGAAATTGAAAATGAAATCTCATTTAGCCTTTTGTTTTTGGTTTTGAACATTACATAGTATTCGTAATTGATACAGTTTTTTAACTAATATAAAAAATACCAAAAATCAAGCTTTCACATTATAGGCTATGTATTTTATTCTTAAACTATATCAAATAATACTTACATTTAAAGTTATTAGTAAAAAAAATATTATTGATAACTGCGTGTAAATATTTCTTGTTACATATTTATATTATATTTATCTTTCATTAATTTTTCAAATGTTATGGTTGTTGAAATGTTTAATAATAATTTGAGTGTGTTTTTCTGTGTGTTTCAAATGGCTCAATGGCAATAAATGTGACCTTCAAATACGTAATTATTGCTTTAGTTATATTATATTTTTAGTAATTAAGTTGTTTTTCAAACTACAGCTTTAACAGCTAAAAGATTTGTACGAATACATAAAGTCAATGTTAAATATATCGGTATTTTGTCAAAATATTAATACTAAATCTTTAGATATACCAAAGGTGCCTTCTTGAAATTAAAGCGAAATTTTGAAAGCCCAGCTACAAGAGCAAAACGTAATTTGTTTTGATCCATCATTATAATTGGTGTAAATATTATGCCATTTAAGATTTTATAAATACAGACAACAAAATTAATATAATCGTAACTAATCGTTTTTTCAATTTATTGACGCTTTATTATTAATTTTTGCAACATAATTTTTAATAATTTTATTACTAACAAATAATTTTTATACTTATATACATATCTAAGCTTTAAACAAATTGGCCTGTATGATAAATATATATTTATTAGAGTTAGCATATTGTGCCTTATGATATGACTGACCATGAAATGAAATATAAATATAATTATAGTAGTACATATAATTAAGTTTAATTTTAAATAAAGCAGCTAATAATAAGTAATTAGCATATTACAGCTATCACACCAAAGAATAATTAAGTTTTACTATATATAACGTACAATATTTATTATGTTATTTAAAATAGTTTAGAACGATGAATAAAATGATATGCTAGGCTTTAAGATAGTTTATAAACTTAAGTAATGTTCGTGTACATATAGGAACATAAAAGGCACCAAAAATAATTTTAAGTATCTATGCTTACATATTTGTACTCTTGGAAATATATGAAGTAATATGATTCAAATTACGTTTTCTTTCTTATGAAAATGTTTTTTTCAGGAGTAATCAAATATTATAAAAAACGTTTTTTTTGTTTGGCGTAGATTCAAAACAGCAATTAAAAGTTATTACAAAAAATGAAAATACCATCCATCGTTTTTGTGATTAAATAACTTTTTCAAAATGTTAATCGGAATTTTAGCATTCTATAAAATGTTCTGATGATATTATTTTCTGATTATTATATTTGCTAATGGCTATTTATCAGGAAATGCAATAATGACATGATTTTTCTTTTGCAATTCTACATACACTGAAAACATAATCGAAGATAAAATAATATTTTTTTAAATTGTTTCAATTTTTATTGGTTCCATCTGTGATTCATTATCGCATTTATATTAATTGTTCATTGTCGAAATTAACTTACTATTTTATTTAGTTCAGTACAACTTTCAAGAAAAATAAAATAGTTTTGTTAAAAATCTATCAACTATTTTTCAAGCAAAAAAAAATTCAATAAAGAATATTTTTAGTCTAGCAAATATATTTCGTCCAAAGCTCGCAAATAATTTTTTAATAAAATTTTAAAAATTATATCATTGAAAATGTTTGTTAAAGGGCTTTTCAATATAATTATTTTTTATTTTGAAAATTTAGAATTTTTCGATTAGAATCAAATAATAAAATTGATTAATATGTTTTCCTTAACAAATTTAATTTTTCCTTATTGAACAAGTTGAAATTGGAAATTATTTTAAATAGTCACTGCACAAAAATTTAAAAAGCCAGACTTCGACTGGAAATTGACTAAAAAATATAATCAGAAATAGCCTTACTAGTCAACTCTGTATAATAAACTAGAAAGAATGATGAAAAGACTAAATTTTAGTCCTGCACCTGTAACCTGTAATAATGTGTCTATAAAAGTCCGATATATAAGATTTAACTGGCTTGCACGTGATAGATAGATCATTCCCGTTCATCATCTTTTATTTATTACGTCCTGTCGTGTGAAAAAGCTATAAAAAAGTAACAGTAAGTGAGTCACAGCCTTCTCGAAAAATTCAATAAAAATCATAGCACCCGTAATGTAGGCGTGTTGTACGATCAAAAAACGTGAATAGTTCAAAAAAAGGGTAATGACAATTTAATTTTAGATTTTAGACCATCGTGTTTCATTTTATTATTATTTTAACGTTAAACGTATACACAGCAGTACTCTTGTAGCGAACTAATTTAGTATTAATTGTAAACAAAGACGAAAACCACGGCCGTGCCAGCAGCTCATCCAATGTAAACAAATTCGGAAGCGGAACATCGAGATCAGGGAAGGTGCAATGATGGACCGAAATTATAAAATATAATTACAATTAAGTTAGTTTCCAGTAATATATTTTATATTATATAAGAGTGATAGTACATCATTATAAACATAGATGTTTCAAATCAAATCATTAGTTAACTTATTGACCAATTCCCTTTGGATGACAAGATTTTAATGAAGATGAATTATACTTTTCCTCATCCTTATTTTGTGAGCTAGAACATCTATATTCTCATGATTAAGGATTGACTGAATAATAATTCGATAGCAAAATGCTTGTAGAAATATTATTAAAAAAAACTTAAATGCTCAATAATTCGGTAAGATTCGATAAAAATCTGATTAGAATATTTTAACATTGATATTATAAACATAAAAAGAAATAGAATTCAAAAAGTAAGCCTTTTTCGCAGTCAAAGTTGTCACGACGAGTCGAGACAAAGATGGAATAATGCATAAACATTGCTTATACATTATATCTTTCCAAATGTATCTTTTGTTATTTTTTTAAAATACCTACGCTGAGCTAATTTCCGATTTCAAATTGAAGAAATATGAAGTAATAGTTTGACAAAATAAGCATATATGCATATGCTCATACTGATAAATTTATCTATTGGTGCAGCAATGTCAGGTAGGGAATATTTTCTTATATTTACTTGAAAACCGATGTCACTACAACTTGACATATTTTAAGTATTCAAAGAAAGGCAGTATTTACATGTAAAATTTGTATATTTTTATATTTCAATCTATAAAATAATATAATATTTGTTAGACAAAATATTATATTATTGGCATACTCCACCTTTCTATAACATGAATTTGAGTCAAAGAATTAATGAGACAATCAAACATTTTTCTTCATATATTGTTTCATATGATAATCAGTTATGTAGTAATATTTACATTACATTAACCAAGTTTTTAAATTTTCAATTCCGTTTCATTAGGTTTAAATCTTAATAGGCTATTGAATTTTCAGGGAGCAATATTATTTACATATTAAGCTAGTCTTAATCTAAGAATAATTATATTAAGAAGAAATATAAGGAATTTAAGTTTTAATTAGAAGTAAGTAAAATATATTATAGATAAACGAAGCTTTTTGATCATTTAATGTTTTACTTCCCTGTAGTGATATATGGAGATCGTACTATACTAACCAAACTTCGAGGGAATAAGAAACGAGAACCAGGATTGCTCTTACCAATTTCAGTATTTTATGATATCTAATAGTACTACAAAATTATTGATTCGATGCTTATATTGAAGATAAAGAGTAGCATATATTATTTGAAAATAAATTCAAAATTACTGGAAATTCAAGTTACAAAAATCAAATTTTCAATGGTCAAACAAGTTCTATACTTTATTGAACACATATGAAAAAATGAAAATTATTCATTTGGGAGCATCCATTAACCATATGATTGATTTCTAAGAATTTTTGGAGCCCTTCTCCCCCTTTGGTATTACATTACGTGTATTTTTAATATATAGAAAAAATCATAACATTATTGGATTTCTTTTAATTCGGCTAAAAACATAATAAACAAGTTATCTTCTTAATTTTTATTTGAAAATTTTGAAATTTCATTAAAGTTTGTGTCCAAATTCCATGTCGGTTGATCCATACTGTCAAAAAAATCAGATGTTTGGCCGCCAAATGGCATTTGTTAAACTTATATTTCTGGACCTGCCTTTGAAAAATTTAATCAATTCTTCGTTAAGTCTATACAAGTGAAATGTTTTTTGAAGCATTCAAATTGCATCCGACTCTCAAAAACTTAATTTCCATTTTCTTCACTCTTTGCACAGGATCTCCGAAACGGCTGGACCAACTTGTGCTAACTAATCAGCAGGTCTCCTTATTAATAGAAATCGAATGCTATTTGAATAATTGAAATCGATTGATCCGTCCTCCCGAAAACGGAGACGAAAAATTGTATCCATACATTCGCACACAAAAATATATACCTACTATATATATATATACTACTTTTTCTAATTGTAAGGTATGTCTTAATCATCAGAAACCTTCGAACGTAAAGATATGCAAAAAATTTCATTCTCGATTTTTGGACGATTACTATAACTTACACTACGGGAAGTTAAAAATGATTAGAAATCTATTAATAAAAAAGATTATTACTTAGACGAAAACTGATTCACCACAAAGCATTGATAAATTGGAGTGCGGATCAAGAGTAGTTTATTTTATAGCTAAAT